CACCGAAAGTACATACGCAACTGTGTCGGCATATCGTGCTAGCATCTGTATGTTTCTTCTCTGTCTCCGAGCCGCAATTGAATCCTGAACCTGAGCCGTCGGTTCCAGATCCTGCACATTTGTACTCGTATCCTCCGTGTCACCATCGTGCTCGCCTGGCGTTACCTCAGTCGGCACCTGCATGGATACTGTATCATCTGGACAATGTGGAGCTGCATCGATCTCCACCACCTGCGATATCTCCTCCGTCGGGTCGCTCTCCACCTGATGAGAGCTGGGAAGCTTCAAGATAGAAGCCTCATCGAATGTGACATCCCTACTCAACACAATCTTCTTATCCATTGGATCCCAAAGCTTGTATCCCTTGACACCACGTTTGAATCCTACAAATATGGCATTCCTAGCTCGAGGTTCCAATTTATCAGTTCTGACATGATAATATGCAGGGTACCCAAATACCTTGAGCTGATCATAGTCATGTGCTGGCTTTCCCGACCACATCTCCATAGGGGTTTTCCCCTCAATCGCAGATGAAGGCAGCCTATTAATAAGGTGGCTCGCATACGTAAGTGCCTCAGCCCAAAAGATTTTCTCCAAACCACTCTGCGATAATAAGCATCGGATCTTCTCCAGTAAAGACCGATTCAACCTCTCTGCCACCCCATTTTGCTGCGGTGTATGACTAACTGTGAAGTGTCTCTCTATGCCCTCGTCTCGACATAGTTGCAAAAAGGGGTCTGAAGTATACTCACCACCGTTGTCGGATCGTAACGTCTTGATCTTTCTCCCAGTCTGCAGTTCCAATCTCTTCTTCCACTCCACAAACAAATCTAGGACTTCACTCTTCTTCGTCATGGTGTACACCCAACAACGCCTAGAATAGTCATCTACAAAAGTGACGAACCAATGTCTACCACCAAGTGATGCAGTCTTGGTAGGACCCCAAACGTCTGTGTGCACATAGTCCAGGATACCCCTCGTCTGATGAATGGCAGTCCCGAACTTCACCTTTGTCTTCTTACCAAGAACACAGTGCTCACAGAACTCAATTTTTCCACTCTTGGCTCCCTTCAATAGTCCCTGCTTGCACAATGCCTGTAGTGACTTTTCACCTGTGTGCCCTAACCTATAGTGCCAAAGTCTGCTCATGTCCGCTAGCCGAAGCAACCTGGCCAATCTCGGTGCTTCCCTTCAGATAATATAAATTCCGATTGCGGACTCCCTTGATCACTTCATCACCACTAATGATCCCTTAGTAACCTTCGCTACAACGTTTTTGAAAGTCACCTTGAATCCCTTCGCCTCCAAAGCTCCAACTGAGATAAGATTTTTCTTCAGTTGAGGAACAAATCTCACCTCCTTCAACTCACGGACTACTCCATCGTGCATCCTAATCCGCACGGTACCTATCCCACAAACGCCACAGGATTGATCATTTCCCATGACAACAACGCCCCCGTCGACTTTCTCAAAAGATGCAAACCAGTCTCGCCTAGGGGTCACAGGAAAGGTAGCGCCGGAATCAAGCATCCAATCTGATGCATCCACATGGTTCACCTCCGGAGTAATCAGTAGAGAAAAGCACGAATCATCGGAATCATCGCCTTTCGCAATGTTCACCTCATTGGCCTTCGGGCCCTTTTTCTTGCCATTCTCCTTCTCCTTGAGCTTCAGGCAGTCTCTCTTCCAATGTCCCTGCTCCTTGCAGAATGCACATTGGTTCTTTGTTAGTTGGTGACGGCCTTTAGACTTTGACCTTCCTCTATTACCACCTTTCGGATATGGGCTTCTACCTCTCGTCGACAAGGCATCGCCTGAAGTACTAGCGCGGAAAGTCTCCTTGTCCTTCCTCCTCAAATCATAGTTCGTCAAAGCATTAGTTACTTTACTATAGCTGATAGAAGATCTCCCGTTCAACAAAATAAGTACGAAGGTATCATACTCCTCATCGGGTAAGGAGCCCAACAAAATAATCGCCTTGTACTCATCCGATATCTTCTCATCAACATTCGCCAAGTCCGACAACAACTTAGTGTAGTTGTTCACATGAGCCGCTAGCGAGGTGCCTCTGGACATCTGAAATCTGAAGAGTTTTTGCAGTAAGTGCAACCTGTTCTCAACACTCTTTGTGAGATACTTGTTGTTGAGAATTTTCCACATCTTCATTGCAGACGTCACCCCAATCACATCATATTTCAGTTCTTGTTCCAAACAGGACCTGATCACCCCACACGCGTTCCTATTTATTTTCTCTCATACCACCTCTTCATATTTAGGTGGCCTCTCGTGGACCATGATGGTCTCTTCCAAATTCTGAGCATTGAGCGCATCCTGTACGTCGCTCATCCACAAACCAAAGTTGATTTTGCCGTCATACTTCACCATACTAATTTTAGTGTTCTGAAAACCAACTTGTATTGTACTCGTCATCGATTTGCTGCTTTCACCTTCTTCTCCCATTACGAACTAACTCCAAATTGTAGAGAAAGAACAAATTTGATAGAAATTAGGAACCACCCAACTGAACCCTAGATCGGATTTCATATAGATCTCCTATCCACACGAGGAAAACGAAATCTCCAACGATAACTCTTAATACTATCTCCACCGAAACCTAGAACTCCAAGAACCAAGCTTCACACAAAATCTTCCTTCACCAAATCCAAAACACCCTAGATCTGAAATCTGGGCTCTGATACCACTTGTTGCGCGCAGCGGAAATTTCGGCAGTACTTCGGCAGCACAACAAAAGAGTCAGGTCGCAATAAGAATTCTTGTTTCTCAAAGGGAACAAGAATCTGAAGCCTAATATCTCATCAAAGTGGGATATTAGCTCTTCCTCTCGTCAGCTCTAGGACTGCGCGTCGAGGGAACCTAAAAGCTATTACAAATCACACAAATAGCAGTACAACCAATTTTACGTGGTTCGGCAAATTGCCTACATTCACGGGGCAAGGAGGGGGAGATCTACTATTAGAGGGAGAGAATACAACTAGGGTTTACAATCACTCATAATCTAAACCCTCAAACAAACTCTCTTAAATCCCTCACAAACTCTCTCTACAAAAGGATGCAAAATGACTCTCTCAAATCGGAGCCGAGAACTAATTCGTAGCCGCAAAAAATCAAAGCACCTTGCACGAAAACCTCCTGCACTTTGTTTTTCTCTGTAGCCGCACAAATTGCACCCAGCCCTCTGCACCGAAAAGAAATCCCCAGCCTCAAAAATCAAGTCCTTGCACGGAACCCTAGTAACAATTAAACAAGATATTTATAGGCTGCTAACGGTGGAAGCGGGTGGGCCTTGGGTTTCGTCCGCTGGCTTCTTCATTCGCGTGGCTTCATCACACGAGTCGTGGTCCCCACCTGCACATATTTATTTATTGGTTTTTTTAATCGGCAGTCGGTAAGGACACCTCCTTTTTCTCTCTCTTTTTCTTCTTTGGGTTGGAGGTTTTGATGGAGGCCTTGATGGATGTGTTTGTAGTAGTCATGGGTGAAGTTGGGCTGGGATTTCCTTAAAGAGAATTTTTCTGTGTGGCTAGACCCTTTTTTGATGAAGAGATGACAAGGAGCATATACCTAGGCTTGCTGAGAGAGAAAAAGGAGGCTGAGAATTTTTCTTGGTCTTTTGTTTTTGGAACTGGCAGGGGGGAGAGAGAGAGAGAGAGGACCACTCCAGATTTTTTTTTTCCTTGATGATGGGGGGTATATATATGTGGATCGTGATGAGATCAAATTCAAACATAAATCCTTTATCTGTTTGATCAGAGAGAGAGAGGACCACTCCAGATTTTTTTTTCCCTTGATGATGGGGGGTATATATATGTGGATAGTGATGAGATCAAATTCAAACATAAATCCTTTATCTGTTTGATCCCTCTACTTGTTAAGCGGTGGTTTAGATCCAAATCCTCCACTTTAGCTTCTCTTTCTTTTAAATTGGATTTGAAACAAGCCAATTACTTGCTTTAATGCATCTTAGTGAGAGAGAAAATATTAACAGCAAATATTGCCCAAGAAGTTCTTTGATAAGGCCTTTTTTCTCTCTCTGATGATAAAATAAGCTTTGATAGCATTCACATAGTCCTTTTATTTATTTATTTTTATTTTTGGTGGGAGTTAAACACAATAGATTATATTAGGTTTCACTTGAATCTATCATGTGTATTATCAACTCTCACCAAACATCCTAAGGCTACGTTTGGGAACTAAGATTTGGATTTGGAATGTTGATTTAAAATCAAAGGATTTTAAATCTAGGATTTAAAATCCATGATTTGATAGAATCTTTTGTTTGGATGCCTTTACAAAATGCAAGGAATTGAAATTAAAGATTTGAAATATAATATTTAGATACACTTTATTATACATGAACTTGGATTTCAGAGATAAGGAGGATTATTATGTGAACAATTTATGACATATACATATAGTTAACATATATGAGTACCATACTACTTAGCCCAAGCATTTTTAAAAGGATGAAAGACGTGTCACGCACAAATAAAACTTTGCGAAGTGATGCAAAACCAAATTGATCACCTCGATAGCAATTATAAATACTCATGCAAACATCTCATCCTTCATGAATCGATACGAGAGAATACAAACAATAATAATAATATCCAAAATATTCATTATAATAGCTTTTTTTTCATGGTTTTATCCACTACCATATTGACCTTCAATCTCCAAAATAACAAGAGTACTACTTTAAAAATTAGTCATGATAAAAGACTTGACGACACAAAAGAGTATAGCAAACAATCCACATAAAAAGCTCTAGGCTACGCAATAAGTCTTCATTTAAAACATAACGTACTATAGGTAGTAGATAACCATGATTTTCTACAACAAGCTAAATTAGCACAACATAAACTACTAAAAAAACCATAACAAAAATCGTCTATTTATCCTTCAAAGTCTTTTCCTCCTTTTTCTCCTATGCTTCTAACTCATGTCTCAGAGAACTTATTGGATCCTACATTAAAAAATTTGGCATCAATTAGTTCATGAAACAAAATACGCTCTAAAACAGAAATGATATCTACTACGAAGGCAAATCACAACTATAAGTGTGCATATCACGATTAGCTAAAGCTGAGTCCATATCACGATTCCAAACAACATGTGATCTCAACTGAGATGCAATTTGTTTCCCTTTCTTTGTCATCCTAATACATACCAAAGTGAATGACACAAAATGAGTAATAAAGAATTAGCACATCATGCACAAAGGATTACTTAGAAACAACTGTCTAGTTCTTAGGATCTTCATGCATGACAAACTAATAATAGTGTCAGAAACAAGCTACTAAAATATATATTGGTTTGGTTCTTTGCTCTCCAGTGGCTTTTCAAGGTTAAGTTGATGCAATACAACATTAGATGCAAATGAATGGCGAAAGAGCATGTGACCTACACATATAATTGGATCATAGCTATTAACTATATCATCGGATGTAAACGTGATTCTTGGAGAGGAAAAATCACTGTACTATAGACTTTATTTTATCCTTTCATATAGCTAAACTAATAGAATCTACATAGCAACCAATAAGATTTCAGTTAGGGGAGAGGGATTAGGGGAGAGGGTTTGTTAAAATAAAGGAAAGGTGTGTGGGAGTTGGGCTTTAGTGAGGAGATTAGTGGAGAGGGATTAGTTAGGATTTGTGCAGAGATTATGGATGAGTTAGTTGGGTTTTGTTAGGATTCTTTAAATTTTTGGTTAGTGATAATATTGTTAGGATAAATGAAAGGTGTTCTCAATGCTTGTTACAGAATCTTTCTTCAAACTTATCCTTACATCAAAGAGATAAAATAAAACCCTTAAATTTCTCCTACTCACATCAGTGCTTACTGAAAATATGTAACTACCGTTCAAAGTGTATACACCTCACACTAACTACCCCAATATCTATGACTAGGTCAATCTTGTACCGCCTATTTCAAAGTGTATACACCTCACACTAACTACCCCAATATCTATGACTAGGTCAATCTTGTACCGCCTATTGAAAATCCCAAATTTAACTACATGCACATTATTCGAAATATCTTCATTGTTATGTAAATGCTAGCATTTTACTTGGTCTAGTATTGGATTGACCTTGCTCAATCAAAACACATAAAACTATGAACGATGAAATAATGAGGCGAAATCTTATTAACAAAAGAGAACTTTAATGGAGTAGGTCAAGCCAGTAGGGATTGAGTTTCTGCAAAGAAATTTTTGAAATTAATTAAATACAAATCATAATCACTAGTGGTGTTTGCTTAGGTATTACACCTAGATACTTTTTTGAAATTAATTAAATACAAATCATAATCACTAGTGGTGTTTGCTTAGGTATTACACCTAGATACTTCATGGAAAATATATTTAACTTTACTATGAGCAAGGAAACAGCTACTTAGTAGTTACTACTGTAATTACATGTAGAACATAAAACCATAGTGAATTCCATATATTTATCATAAAAAAACATTGAAAACAAAATAGCAGTTCCATTTCCATCGACATACTTACATAACCATTAAACTGTTGCCAAGCTGCCTTAACCTCCTCAACAGTAGACATTGTCACAAATCCAAAACCTCGGCTCTTTCCAGTTAGTTTGTCATAGATAACCTGCAAAATAATCCAACTTAATTCACCATATTCAAACACTTACAAACCACATAAGCTTCTAGGAGCACCACCATCTTTGAAATCAAACTCTACATAACCACACTCATACATTCACCAGAATCACAACTACCTTATAAAACTAAAAGGACCTTGCAAACAAAGAAGGGGCTATCCATGAAATATACACATTAAGTATCTATCATACGGATAAATTTAAAAGTGTCTGCTGTTATGTGTGGACATGTGCGCGTATTGTACAAGCTAAACATTTTCTTTAGTTTCCTTTTTTAAAGTGTAAAAAAGTATTAGGTGAGAGTAATAAACTATTAGGAGTCAACAAAATCCATCAGATTCAAATACAATTCATGATCTCCTACTTCCTGGAGTTGGTCCCATTTCCTTTAGAATCCATTCATGCATCCTATTTGCAAATAAGCTATTAGATTTTTCTTTGGGGTTAATTTCACCTAACACCCTTAATGTTGGCCGGTTTCTCACATAATCCCCAGAATTTTGTCTATTCTGCTTAACCCCTGTAAACTTGTTATATAATTGAACCACGCACACATGCATGACTTCATCAAGCAGCTTTACCCTGTCAGAAGCATGCAATTTACTTGACCAAAATACAAACAAAGTGATTAGTGTTCAAAAAAATATAGCTAATGCTGACTATTGTTTAGACTATCGATGAAGGATTTGTTTGTTATTGAGGCTTTTTCTGATCTCAAGCGTTATTTGCTTGAACAACAAAGAGCTAGTTTCAGTCTTTAGCAAAGTGAGTAAATCTCTTGCAAAGTGATTAGTGAATAAACTTTTTCTGATCTCATGCAATTTACTCATTCCAATATGATTCAGACCATATTTTTAGCAAAGTGAGTAAATCTCTATATTCATAGGGTCGACATTACCAAGATTCAGTCTTTAAATACCAAAACTATCGCGGTGCAAAATAATTAATGCAAAAAAGCTAGTTTCAAACAGAACATCAAAGAATCATAACCCTGAGGGTGTTAAGGGATTAACAAAGATAATTGAACTTGAACAAATATTTCTCAGTTACCCAACTTTCTACTGAATAGCAAATAAATCTAACAAAGACCTAAACACGTAAAACTTCAGCATTGAAGAGTAAGCACGATTAGGGTTAGGGTTAGCGATTGATCATTGAAACAATTACCAGAACTGGGGGAGGCGAGGGGGGAGAGAGGAGAAAGGGGGAGAACTAAACCCTAGATCAGATCTAGGGTTTCGACGAGAGAGGAGAAGGGGAGAGAGGAGAGATAGAGGTTACCTGCGTTGAGAGAGAACTTGAGATCGAGATCGGGATCGTGCCTGAGAAATGAGAGAGGAGGAGTCGGGATCGGGGAGCGGGACTGAGAAATGAGAGAGGGAGAGAGGAGTCGGGATTTGGTAAATACCAAGGGGCAGGATGAGATTTGAAATACCTGTATTTAGGCTCTTAAATTCTCCTCTTTAAAATAATTGGATTTGAAATCTCAGCTCAATTTGAGACCCAAACTAGAGATTTGTATTTGAAATACACTGAATTTCAAATACAGTGCCCAAATCCAAGTTCCCAAACAGAGCCTAATGTGATTTAAATTCTTCATCTTCACGGCCTCGGGCCTCTTCATTCTGCTAAAGCCGGATTATTCATTCGCTTTACAAATTTTACTATAGAGTTCAAAGCTTGCTGTGATTGGGCATAAGTCAAGTTGTAATGCTCCTCTGTATTATTTATATTTTTAACTAGCTTCAACAAATAGTAGTGGTACTACTACTGCCACTACTACTACTACAGCCATAAAGAACAAATATATGTTAATTATAATATGGTTTTAGATACTTGCAACAGTAGTATTGTTTTAAGCATGTCTTCCAGCCGTAAAGAACAAGTATACATTTGTTAATTACCATATTGTTTTAGACACTTGCAATGATAGTAGCATTGTTCTAAGCATGTCTTTCAGGAACCTAACGGTGGATTAATATATTACAAATTCTCGTTTTTGGGGATATTCATGGTCTCAAATTTTCTTATATACTACCAACCATTTCTGTTGTTTGGCAGGGTATCATAGGCCAAATTTCTTCAGCGTTCTCTTTTAATATATACTCATTAATCAACAACTGAAGACATTACAGATTCATGTTACGCGCGTACGTTTTCTGCAGCAAATGCGTACCTTCAGCCACAAGCCTGCGCTTGCTTACCAGTCACTGGTCAGCCATCTCCATGCCACGCTTACGAAGATCTATTTATTTGTCTTATTTTATTAATTAGTTGCATGTGTAATAACATTGTCTACGGCTACGCTATGTTTTCATTAGCTGTATTGAGTAGCATATGCTTTTTCTCTTGTATAATAAGCATATGGGAATCTGCTGAGCTCGGATTCCCTGACTCTGTAGTGGTTTGAGTAGTGGTATCTGAAGAAATTTATTTTAGATGCACGCCGCTCTGAAATTTATTTTAGACATACACCATACTGTTCGTGTATGTTGTGCCTTAGGAAACTACTCATTCAGATTTCCCCGGCTGCTTTCTTTCTTCCTTTTGTGTGCGCGCGCGGACGTTAAAGTGGTGGAACGCAATTTTTATAGTACAACACATGCGTATTTTGTGTTCCACCACTTGCTTCAAGTTTGTGAATTTTATTAATTTTCATCATTATGCATAAGATGGCCAGTTTGTGAATTTTATTAATTTTCATCATTATGCATAGGATGGTCATAAGGTAGAAGTTATTGAAATTACATTATAAAGTGTTATGATTTCTTGATAAGTTTTTTAACTACAGCTTATCAGGCGAAGCTTTTGGCTAAAGTCATTTTGGGGCAGACATAACATAACGCCACAACTATTTGGTAAAAAGGAATATCTATTGTATTGTTGAGTTTTCAAATTGAGGGAGATTCTTTTTTTTTTTCCACTCTCTACCTTTTGCCCGAAAAAATGGTGTAAGTGGAAGCTTGCAGTAGAACATTTCTGGTTCTTGGTCGGAATTGTTACTGGGAAGATTTTATACTGCGTGTCTAACTTAATAATTGGGACGAGAGTTCCTTGCTAATTGCGGCGCATACTTCATGTAGGTAACCTTATGTTATTCAAAAACCACATGAGAAGAGTAACCTTCCAACTAACAGTACCCACCCAAGTGTTAGATTTTCCCTTTGGATACAGGGATTTAATTTACTCGTACGCATAAACATACCCAGACATCGATCTTCAACTTGGACGATGACCGATGAAATTATGAATACTAGCTGGAGGCAGTGAGAGAGGTAGGCATGCATGTTCGGGCAGCCCCTGATTGCAAGAAAAAATCAAGAGGGAAAAGGAAGGTAGGCATGTTACCTAGGGAGCCAGTAAGGGGGCCCCAAGCCTTAATATTTCATACGCAGCGGTATCCTATCACATCTGTTTTCTTGCAAGTAACAGTGACATGCATAAGTTCAAGCACATGATTTGGTTCCTGCCGTCAAGCTTAGCAACCACTCATTTTCTAACCTTCATTCATCCTTCTTCTTTGGTAGCTACCACAGTGACCCACCCACCATTAGCACTAGACAAAGAAAAGAAGAAGAAAGAGGACCATCTTAATTTATTCTCTCCGGTCATGTCCATGTGTTGCTGCTGGATTTGCAGCCAACAACTGCACGTTGGTTCGTTCGCTTGGTGGTTCGATAAGTACGCCACACTAACACACAACAGGACCCAGGTCTTCATATTTCACCATCCTATAGGATATAGCTATGTTAAAATGCGTTGTTTGTGGCCTAGTTAATTGGATGCTATGTTATACCTTGACTGATTGGCAACACGCAAACGTCTCTATCATCTCGCTGCAAAGCTGTATTGAGTCTGTAACGGTAAATCAAAGTGCCGATGCCAAGCATCGTTCAATCCCCCAGGCTAGGAATCAGAAGGAGCTTTAATACTGACTAATTGTGGCGTCCTTGGGATGTATAGCTGCTTGTGCTGTGATCCCCACTCAGCTTTAAGGTGTGATTGGCTACTCAACATGGGGTTAGGATTGGTCATAGTTCCATTTTGAAAAAATTTGTGTTCAGGTTAACAGAGCCAGCTTTGGCCAGTTTTCCGAACACCAAATTTGGTCAATAAAACTGGGACACCCCGGACCATAACAAAATCAGTTTAGTTGAAAACATAGCCACGATCAATCCTGACCCAATTTTAGGTGGTTGTCAAACACACCCTATGATCAAAAGTTAGTCAGGATATATTATCTCATTAACAGGCAGTCAGTTTCATTACTTTTTGAATACAGGTGGGTTTCGGTTTCTTTTGTGAAGTGAGAGTGAGTTAACTCACTTCTTGTACCTTGTGTTGTTTCTGTGGCTAAGCTGGTCCAGACTTCCCAGAGTATATGTGATACTCCCATGTGAGGATGGCAACTGAGGCCTCTTCTCCTGACCTCACCCTTGATATGTTATGTTGTCCTACCTTTTTGTCTGAGCAATTCTCCACACATAGGCCTCTGAAGTTATATCTTTACTCTACAATTTAACACAACTCATTTACTTTCTGATACTGGCCAGATCATGTGGACCACTCTCCGACCTCTGGCCTATTGACTGTACAGAATAACCAAAATTAGATGACATAAATGTAACTAGCTCCTCTTAAGTATTGAGTATGAGAAAGGAAGATTGAACCCTTTGTGACACAAAGTCTTGGTTGGTGATCTGTATTCCATGCGTAGGCTGTACACCAACATTTGAATTTAATGCTTTTCTGCGAGAAGAACAGTTGGGACTCGGGGTGGAAATGGTTCGGATATGGCCCGGATGTGATACTTACCATATTCATATCCGCTTGTCCTTTACGGATACAGATATGATATGCCTCATTAAGGAA